GAAGGTGGAAGAGAGCGCTGTACATTCACTCCCCCCACCTACAATACCTGCCGGCACGAGACTCGAACCCACAACCTTTGGGTTACGAGTCCGACTCTCTAACCATTAGGCCACGACTTAAAGCACTTAAAGTACTGCTTGCATTTGGTGAAACAGCCAGTTTAGCATGGACACACAGAAATCCCATTTTTGGAGCCAAATTCTTGGTGACCTTCTTTGCCATTATTGCTGGTTGTTTGTTGTTGAGCAGGTGAATGAATTAAATTGATCTTTAAGATGCAGTCTGCTATGAACTTTATGCAACTGGTGTGAACAGAGTGTCTTATGACCACATGAGCCCAATGTTGCTCTGTTTTAAATAAACCGCTTGTAAATATCCGCTTGTAATAAACCGCTATGCCTTGAGAATACGTTATCAAGTCCTACATTAAGTGTCTTAAGCTGATAGCTACCCAATATAATTAAGAAAAGCGCTTGTGTTTTTTCTTTTCTTTTCTATTGTTATCGTTCTTGACGATAAAGGTATGGTTAAAAAAATAAGAACAGCTTTCTTTGTTGAAGTGAGGGCCAAAGGTCAAAAGCAAAAACTTTATAAACGCAGAGCAGCTTGAACATTCTGCTAAAGATTTGCTTTTTTGTTGCCTGAAAGTTTAAAAAACACAGGTTTCAAACAACATGAGAGTAAATGATGACAGAATTTTCATTTTGGAATCAACTAGACTTGTGTAAGATTTCACTCAGTAAATAGGGATGTTGTAATTTTCTAAATAAAAGAGTTAAATCCAAAACCAACGCAATTTTTGGGGACAAAGTTTTTAAGCCAGTCAGTCTATTTTGCAAGAGCCAAAGGCAATCAGCGCACCCCCATGAAGGGATCCAGAGCCAGTCTGACCAGTCATTAACCTGCCCAGGTCAGATGGATGAAATGCACAACCTTTGACCTAATTAGTATTATATTCATTTTGAGCACAAAGGTGTAAGACGGTGGGAATAGATGTAGTTGATTCTTGTGTTTGAATCAACGTCCAGTTTCTGATGTCATCTACTGGCCAGCGATATAGTGAATGAAAATGGTTCTTTTCCAGCACTTTTATTACTGGTGAAGTTATGCAAGGTGAACTGATGACTTCATTTGATTGAATGTACTGTACATAGATTGTGATCTGAGGACTTTGTCCTTAATGGACAGATATCATGTTTGATAATCAGAACAGCAATAACCAGGCTGTTGAGGAAAATGATTAATGTGTCATGTTGAAGGGATAAGTTCAATAACTGGGGGACATGAGAATTATTTACATTTTAGTATATAAATATTGAGGGGAAAAAGGTTACTAAAGCACTATACCATTCCCAAATCTTACAGCATATTATTCAATTTTTAAAAAGTGTATTATTTTATTTACAAGCCATGGCAGGTATATTATTCAGAAATTATTTTTCTTTTAAAAAGAATATTAAAATATCTATTACTTCTGCCATGTACAAAATTAACTTTGGCATACAAAAAATGTTTAGCTTATAGTGTTTGATCCTTTTGGCATGTGCATCTGATGGGCCCTTTCTAAATAAATGGTCACATGAAAAAAACTGCACTGCCACATGCTTTTTTAGGACAGCTTTTGTGATTCCTTTTGCGTTTTCCAAAGTACATTTACATTTATTAATTTAATTCAATTCAAGTTTATTTGTATAGCGCTTTTCACAATACAAATCGCTGCAAAGTGACTTTACAGCAAATTAAGTTTCTACAATATTTAGTGGTAGTTTATCAGTGGTGACTGTCAGTTAATGTACATATGGCAGAAATGTACGGAAAAATCTATTAAAGACGTAATCAAACAGACGATGAACACAATTAACAGCAATTATTATATGATGCAATCAAACTTATAGCAAAATGTGGTAGTTCTGTATGTTGTTTCAGGGTTG